CAGAACACTTAGCTGTTTGTGTTCTGTTTTTCTGTGCAAGTATGTTATTTCTAAACTTGATTGATTTTCTGAAAGGTTTTTTTGCCATAGGGCACATGTGCTAGCCAGAGAGACAGAGAGTGACAGAAAGCGAGAAATAACCCCCCTGGGGGGGGATGGCTATGCTGCAATCCCTTCTCCTCCATTCTCCTCTCAGGATTTTAGGCACACATGCACATACACCCCGTGTGAGTTTTAAGCCACCAGGTCCAGAATGTTGTATTTCCTAAATGAAATTTAATTGCTTTTGTACTTAGAAAAAAATTAGCGAAAATGAATTGCTCTCTAGAGGAGCACACCATAATCAAACTATAATGCATATCATGCCTCTAATCTAAAATTTTCTAGTAGTCATATTCAAAAAGGTACAAAGAAATAGGTGAGGTTAGTTTAAAAATATTTCTGATATTGTATCTAAAATAGCATCTCTCCATGTGATCAATGTAAAAGTATCACTAATGAAATATTGTATCCAAAATTACTGTTAGACATCTTGGTTTGGTCTAGGCACTTTTCAACTTCTCACTAGCCAAGAGGCTAACAGCTGTAGTACAAGAACACACAGCTCTGGATCCTACACAGGAGCTATCCTTTCAGATCAAATGTGCCGAGATCACGGCTCTGGAACCCTGCACTAATGATCTCAGCCTCCGTTTAAGTATCTCCATCTATGTCGAGCTGTTTCTTTAAAGCAAGAGAAGTGTGCTTTTGGAAGATGGGCAGACTTGAGTTTGAATCCTCCCGCTCACAATTAGCAGCATCATCAGGTTAATTAACAACTCTGTGCTTCATTGGACGTATTCTGTAAATGAGGGTAATGCCTAATTGGAGTTTTTGAGATTGAAATACCGTACTAAAATACTTACTACAGGCCAGCAGGTGGTGTGGAGGTTAGGGTACTGGACTCCCACAGGGCCAGCTTCCTGGTTTGATTCCCAACTTGGTGGTTTGAGAATCATGCTGAGCATGGGTGTCCCAAATCCTGAGAAGACTGGAGGAGTCTTCTAAGGGAGTGATTTCTCAGTTTCCCTCTCTCTCTCTCTCTCTCTCTGACCAGTGCACAGGCCCTATAGCAAAACAAACAAACGAACACTTACTACAAGAACAGACTTGAGAACAGAGACTGTTCTTATCTACCCCGTTCTCTGTGCAACCTCCCTTCTTCAGATAAAATAAAGATTAGACTTAGTAGTAGGCCAGACAAGATTCTTAAAGCAGGGAAGGCAGAAAATCTTGTTTATAATGGTCTTTTGGAGTTTTGCACATAGCAGAGCAGCTCTTTTGCTGTGACCTATTGAAAGTCAGTCCTAGAAACAAAGGTTTTCTTTGTTGTTGTTGTTGTTTTAAGAATAAATGGTCCTAAACTAATTTTTGAAGGTGTAGGGAGGGAAGCCTGTGAAACCCACAGTACAAGTAATTGTGTTTGAAAGGCTCTCTAGGGCAGGGAATGAAGGGCACACACATTTTTTTTTTTTTGAGAGGTTTTCGCTATAGGGCGCGTGCGCTCGCCAGACAGAGAGAGACATAGAGACAGAAAGTGAGAAATCACTCCCCAGGGGGGATGGTCACACTGCAATCCTTTCTCCTCCATTCTCCTCTCGGGATCCTGGGCATGCACGCGCGTGCGCCCGGCATGAGTTCTAAGCCACTGGGTCCGGGACGCGAACCATGGTCGACTACCATAGTCAACTACGTGGGAGTCCAGCGACATAGCCATTATGCTAACTGCTGGCTCCCAAGGGCACACATCTTGACTGGTCTATGACTTTGCTCAGCAAATAGTCAAATGAATAAACAAACAAATGTAGATTATTGATGATATGCCAGGGACTCTGCTAGACAAAGGGGTTAAGAGAAAGAGAAAGAAAAAAAAAGGGGGGGGGGAGTTGCTCCCTTAACTGGATGGAAAAGTGAATGAATGAACCAATGACCACTGTGCCTTTCCTGACTTTTCTCAACTCAGTCATCAGTTCTTTTTTTGTCACTTTTCTCGTTTCACCTGAGACTTTCTATACCATGTTACTAAGTAGAGGAACTTTCTCCAAGAGGCTCAACTAGAGTAGACTATGGTCAATGTACTATGAATGAGTCTAGGTAAAGGGTATATATGTGCTCAACTTGTCCGTGACTTTCAAAAATTTCAAAATGAAAGTTGAGGGGAAAAAAATCCCCGCCATTTTTAAGAGAAGATAATTATCATGGCATATATCAATGGTTTTATAGCAGCACAGCCTAAAACAGAGACCATGAAACCAGAGACTTTTTAAAGAGGTGGTTGACTAACATTTACATAATGAAGAAGATAAAATACTATGAGCAACAAATTCTGCAGACTTTGTCAAATCATGGACATATATAATGAAATCACGTGAAATGGGATGAAAAAATTCAGAATACAATCCATGATTATAACAATATGCATTTACAAAAACTAAAAATACATTTAGCAAGGTAGGGAATACTATTTTCCCTTCTAGGTAAGGTTGCCTATGCCACTAGAAATAAATAGACAAATAAAACACATAGTAAGTCTTTTTTTATTTTTTGGAGAGGTTTTCGCTATAGGGCGTGTGCACTTGCCAGACAGACAGAGAGAGACATAGAGACAGAAAGTGAGAAATCACCCCCCAGGGGGGATGATCACGCCTCAATCCCTTCTCCTCCATTCTCTTCCTGGGATCTTGGGCACGCACGCACTCGTGCCTGGCGTGAGTTTTAAGCCACCGGGTCCGGGACGTGAACCACGGTCGACTACGTGGGAGTCCAGGGACATAGCCATTACACTAACTGCTGGTTCCCAAAACACATAGTAAGTCTTGTTTACCAAGCAAACTCATCTTACATCAGAGGGTAGACTGGCTAGAGAAAATTGCCTCTCTAGTGAAAAAGTGCGTCAGCAAAGGGACACCAGCTCTCGAGTACTATGCTAATAAGCAGTGCTACTTCAGTAACTGACTCCCAGTTATTGCGATATGGTTAATCTAGCATTGAGAAGCTAATGGCAGAGTTGGATTCAAAGCGACATGCTCAATACAAACATCTGACCACCAGGGTCATATCTGACTTTTATATAATAACCCCTCAATCTCTGAACTAACCATGAGAGTGCAAACAAGGTACAAAAATTAATCCACCAACTTCCTCTATTACTGTTGTTCGATTACATATGGTAGAACAGAGAGTTCCCAAATGTCTTTCACAAGCATTTTGTGCTTGAAAACATAAAAACTTACCAAATCATTTAGTACTTATAATTAACAACATCCTCATTATCTTGTGGTTTCAGTGATGATCGAACAATAATGCAAGTGAGTTGTGTTCTCTATTTCCTTTATTAACATAATTAGTATTCTTAGATCTTTTAAAATTGCTCCACTAGCCCAAGGGGAAAATGATTTCAAAAGGTTGAATACATATGCTGATTCAAGATATGATTTCTCACACATCCAACCTCTATAATTTTGGATTATAGAGCAATATAAAGTAATTCTGGCACCAACTCTTTGGCAAAGTTGTTTGAAAACAAAGGTGCCATTACACACAGCTCAGGGCTTTTAGTTAGCATTGCACATAAACTTATTTATGTAATGCTTTTTCTTTAGTGTAAAAACCATGACCTTAATTTAAAAAAAATATGATTACTTCAGAATACAGTAATTAAGAAAACTCCCAATTGACTTAAAAGTCCCGAGCTATAATCCAGGTAATGTGTGAACACACCTTACAAAGAGCTGAGATCCAATTGCATGAACTTTATGAAAATTTTCATTTCAGCATTAAGCTTTCTTGTAACTCCTTGGGACTATCACAATAATAAAAGAGGATGCAGAAAACAGAATGTTTGATAAAAATGATTTGCCTCATGCAAAATGATCTGAGTGCTAATCCGTGCTATAAAATTCACCATCTAGGTGATCTTGAACAAAACATTTACCCTCCGTGATTCAGATTTGCTGTCTATAAAAATGAGAATGATAGTTTTTATATTAAAACAATGAAACAAAGAACAGAGGTGAGAATGCCAGAGTATCAATCACTGCTAACATATATTATCTAACAGTTGTCTCCTTCAAATGGATACATTTTAAAAAACAGCCTGGCTTTTTTGTACATGACTTTAAGCCATGGAGCTAATCATACATGATGTAAGTTTTAGGAACAGAACTGTACTACTTAAGAAACGTGTAGAAATAAGAGTTTTGTGGGAACCAGCAGTTAGCGTAATGGCTATGTCGCTGGACTCCCACGTAGTCGACCGCGGTTCGCGTTCTGGGCCTGGTGACTTAAAACTCACGCCGGGCACGTGTGCGTGCGTGCCCAAGATCCCGAGAGGAGAATGGAGGAGAAGGGATTGTGGCGTGACCATCCCCCCTAGGGGGTGATTTCTCGCTTTCTGTCTCTAATGTCTCTCTCTGTCTGTCTGGCGAGCGCACGCGCCCTATAGTGAAAATCTCTCAAAAAAAAAAAAAAAGAAAAAAGAAATAAGAGTTTTGTGTTTGTTTAAGCCACGAGACTATACATGACATTAAAAAAAAAGTCTCACCAACAAAACTGCACTACTTTCGTTTAAAAAAAAAGTGAAGAATGATACTGAAAGAAGCTAACAAAAAGGAAAACAGGTGGATAAATGAACTTCCTTTTGAAAAAGATACTAAAATACACGGCCCAGATAGCCAGGGTCCGCAAGCCCCAAAAAGGCCAAACTCCAGAAGTGCAAAGAACTCGATGGCACTAAATCACCCTGGAGAAGCTCAGTCAAGGGCAGTTTCTCCCAATGTTCCTTCAACCACACAAAACAAAACAACAAACAGAAGCAGAAAACAACCCACACTGCAACACAGGGGTTTACCGGTGAGGAGCCCCTCAGAGTCGCTTCCTGGAGAGGGGACATGAAACGGAACCCTGTTTAATGAACCAGAGAGCGGACTGAGAGTTTGGAGAAGTGTGGAGACGGACCCTACCTCTCACAGACTTCCCAATACTGTGTAAGTGGGTGATGGGACTGTAGTTTTGGGCCACGGTCTTCAAAAACGCTTCCATCTCTTCCTGGTGGTGGTAGCTGAAATCCAGGGTAGCTGCCAAGGGCAACAGCAGCCCTAGCCAGAAGCACGTGAAGTCCATGTTCTGGAGAATAATAATAATAATGATGATGACGATGAAGCTGAGATGGAGGAGGACGGGCGCAGGGCAGGAGGCGTTACCAGCTCGGGCTCAGCACTAGTCTGGGGTCCCCAGATCCTACCGCTCCCCGCTTTCTAAGGAGACAGCAACTGGAAGCAGCACCATCAGGACTTGGCAGCGCACCCGCGATCGAGGGCACCCTCCATCCGGCCGTCC